ACTCGACGAGCTAGCTAAGTTGACTGGTCAGTCGGTGCAACAGACCGACAACTTCTCGAATATTCCAACCCCGTTAAGTTATTACCTTTAATGTACCAACCAAAGTTGTCGGAAAATGTCGAATGAATTATTTTAATTATTCTTGTTATTCGATAGTTTTTACAATCGTGGTGATTGCCTACAAAAATTCTTAGCTATGATAAATTTAACATTAGATATTTGAATACCTCTCGAATATGATCATCTCGCGAAATTGACATAAATGTAAGAAAGTCATCGCGGTTGGAATCCGTTGGAAGATTGTTTGCAGTCTACACTTTATTTGCAAAAAGACATGCTGCGACACTCGAGTACATTACTCGCATTACTCCTGTTATGTTACGTTACTGGCGTTGATGAAGGAATTTGAGAGAAAACTTTGATGAAGATATTCAGAGCAACGGAAGAAATTAGTTTACGAGAGAAGCCTGTTCCAGGCTTTCTTTGTCGCTATAGATAAATTCACTATATATATCTAGATTTTATTCGATCAGAAACATTTTATTGTATTTGTTGCGATCTTTTCTTTCTATCTTATCTTCATCTTAAAAGAAAAAAAAAAACTCATCATTTTTATTCAATATAACGGTTTATCTTTATAAGCAAGATTAAAAAAAAAAATCAATTTTTCGTAGTGTCTTTGCTACGAATGTTTCATGAGCGTGAAAAGCACTTAAAAGTCAATGAAATAAAAATAAACTTTATCGGATAGCGTGGGTGGATAAGAGAGAAGAAGAAAGAAGGATTGAAGAAAGTTCGAGTCACGGATAATTCTGGACAATGCGAGGTTAACGGTTCCATGGGCAAAAGTAACTCGTCTACTTTAACTTTTTCATGAATTGCGTTTTAACGTTGAAAATAAAACTTCGTTACTTATCTCCAATTCCTTAGAAGTTTACACAATGCAATAAAAGGTGTTACGACGAAGTTCCACATTGGGGAATATTTTTTAACGACACGTCGTTGTTTTTATCAAAATAAACTGGTTCTAACGCTATCGAAATTCCGGCAAAAGTGGTTCTAAAAGCTTTGTCCGCAAAAATACCGCAAAATCGTAACGTTTTCTGTTTTTTTTTTTTTTTTTTTTTTTCATCCATCGTAGTCCCATGTTTTTCTGCATTTTTTATTAATTGCTTCGGACCTCGAAAAGCATGCTTATCTTTAATCTTTATCGAAAAACGTCAAGCTTCAAATTGAGCGGTTTTTCGAGCAAGGCTGAACCAAGTAATAATACACCAAACAAGAAAGCAAGCTCTATGTTTTCTCAGGTAAGTGGATTGTCTTAAAAACAAGGACAGAAATTGGAAGAGCATGGTTTGGTTAAAAAAAATAAGAAGAAGAAGAAAACAAAAAAGAGAGAAAAAAGAGAGAGAGAGAGAAATATAGACAAGATAGAAGGAGAGAGAAAGAGAGAGAGGGATACAGAAGGAGAATTATTACGATGCGACATCGCAATTTGCACTCGCTCCCGTCGACGAATAGCGCTACATTAAGCCTCGTTTAAACTCTCTGAAACAGTTTAATTTATCATCACATCTGGATTAGTTCGAAGCAAGCTGTCCGTAGTCCATCCAATATATATGTAAGTTACATACAACCATTAAAATTTAGAAATATACGCCCTAGGGATTTCTAACTTTGTGTAATGAGTGAAATAATTTATAATGCGAGCATAAACGTGAATTTAATCGTTTTCTCTGTATACAATATATTAAAAATAATATATACAGTATTTTATCTCCCTTAAAATTTTCGATACGATTATTCGTCGACCATCAATTGATTGATGGAAATTATATTAATGGCTTTAGAAGCAGATAAATATAATGAAAATCGTTTATAAATAATGAATACTTCGATCATCTTTTTTATTCAATTCAGTCAATTATATGATAATTAACAATTATTTTACCGTCGATGATAAAACGTTTTCGATGTTATAAATAATAAAAAGATCGTATTGATTTCTCGTTTTAATCAGAAACCGAAGGTATTTTACTTACTCTCAAATAATTTATTTTCGAGTTTCACAAGTACGAGACAAATCAGATTGTCCTGGTCTACACACCACCTGAGCTGGTTCTTGTGGCTAAACGCAAGCCGATTTCTCGCGAATCTCCTTGTTACATTCTAACTGTTTTCTCCAAGGACAAAACTATAGAAATCGATGGTACAATAGGACCGATAGACGAGGAATCATAGAAAACGATGCAAGAGTTCTACATTCTAGCACATTTAATCTATTAATCTATTCAACGTGAACGTTGAAATAAATCTATTCTGTTCGTTGTAATTTTAAATTAATTAAAGATAGAAAAATACAACGTAAATACAAATTGTCGTTACAAATTTTTCATTACGAAAGAAAAAGAAAAAATATACAGGGAAATAGAAAATAAAAGAGATGGTGGAAGTACGTACGTAACTCAATAACTTATACGTGTGTTAAGATAAAACAAATGAACATTTTATTATTCATGCACAATGCATATGAACATTGTAGACTGTATTCAACATTACGTATTGAATCTCCATTTTAGCATGGTGCGTTAACTAAGTTCATACTCAGGTTAATTTTGCGATTTTACAGGAACACCTAATTTCATAAAATATTCCATTACTCGCTAATTTTGGGTCCAGATAAATTTCTCTGTTTTGCAATAAATATTTATCACTAGGGGTCGTTAAAAATTGTGCAACATCTTTTTACACAATATATCTATATCAGTTTTTTATGGTAAATAATTTTAACGAACCTAGAAAATTCTTGACAAAACGTACATACATTAATCATAATGATCGGAGATAAAAAATGTATCATGAGATAAAATGTGTGAATATGGGAGATAAAGATAGAGATAGATAGATAGATAGATAGATAGATAGAAAGAGAAAGAGAGAGAGAGAAAAATATAGAGATCAGTTTCGATTCAGGATAAATCATAGCGAACGATAACTAAGGATAATCAAAGCTGATGAGATACGATTGATAGACAACATAAGAATCATCGTACCTACAGCCAGATCTAAACTCCCGTATAATCTTAGCAGTGAAATTGATATGATTTAGATGTAATGAACTAGTCTTTGAAGGATTAAAGCGTTTATATCTTCCTCGCTTATGATTTCAATTCGTGCGGGATGATTCTTAAATTCGTATATATGTATAAATATATATATATATATATATTTTTTTTTTCTATTTTTACATGTTTTATTACATCTTAGTAAAAATAAATGAAAAAAAAAGGAAAAATAAATAACTAGCAAGAAGCGATTAAAAACATCGGATAATCATTGATGCAATCAATATTAATTTTAGTCGGTAATAATGTATTTTGAATAATCAAATGATTAGGTTATTGTAAATATGATTGCATAATCTATAAATTTGCGCCAATATAATGAGTATTAATAACGAAGTCAATTTATCATATTGCTTCCATTTACAACATACTACATCATCGACCATGATATAATTCAATGTCGATCATTAGTAAATGTTAAGACTTTCAGTTTTCAATTAAATTCAACAGAAAAGAAACAGATTGGATAAATAATAACCAACAAAATGTTTTTAACATTAACGCTAAAATATTTCCATTATTCTCGTTTCGATTTATCACCAAATCTATTACATATTAATGTTAAATGCTACAATCTTTGCATTGTATAGTAAATTCATTCTTTATGTATTTATCAGGCAAATAGATCTCAATCTTTGTGATTAGATTATTATAATATACTTTTGTCCTACAGATATGCCAAAGAATCATACGTAATGCAAGAAATTTTTTTCCAATCTCGCAATGTTTAGATCAAAATCAACCACGTACGATATTACTTGGATCATTATTAGCGATAAAACTCATTTCGTTCGCATGACAAAAAGCCATAATACTAATTATCGATGTCATCACGGTAAGTGCGCTTGACATTCTTACTAATTTACGTAATGGACCGAGATATACGAAAGGGAACAAAAAAAACGGAGACTTCGATTTTTAATTAAACATGCCATGTAGAGGAAACATATACGTGATATATTATGTATGAAACATGAGGAAATTTAAACAAAAAAAAAAAAAAAAAAAAACAAAAAAAAAAAAAAAAAAACAAAAAGAAATGTAAAAAATTTTCTATCAATATCGGTAATTAAAAAATCTTTGTACAAAAGAACTTTTATCTCTATATATTATCGAATAATTGTAAAATTAATATTTAAATTGCAAATCAGAAGTTCGACTGTAGGAATGCACGAAGAGAATTCATGCAGTCAATATCTTTCTGAAAAAACAAACTAGAGATAAGGAATTTAATAAAAGAAAAAAAAAAGAAACAAAGAACGAGTGTTCGATATCACATTCATGTGTCACGAGTGTTAACAAAAAAAAAATTTAATAATAATACTTCCATGGTACCAACGAGTAAACGCTCACGCAAAAAATCTTATTTCATATTGAACACTTTTATTTTGGATCACAAGTACGAAAAAAGTTCTTTTAGCGTTAAGAGCATTGGCCACTTCGCTTCAATTTGCAGTGGTTTCTACTTATCGTTGAGAGCGTTCTTTTGCTTGAAGGGAATGTTTCGAAGGAAAAAGAAAAAGATAAAGTGACAACGTACGAGCATCCGTAAGAATTGAATGGGATAAGAAAACAATCGAGCTTACCGTAGAGTCAATATCTATAGTTAATTCAGCAAATATTGATTTCAGAATGAAATGAAAATGAAACTGTTTAGTTTTGTTTGATTGAAAAAAGACAGTATGTAATTAACGATCATAGAGAATATTCATCTACATATATATATATATATCTGTGTGTGTTTGTATGTGTGTTTGTGTGTGTATTTGTGTATGTGTGTATCTGTGTAATTAAGAATAACAAAAAAATACATATTTTTACATTCATCTTGAATAATTTAAAAAAATAAAAGTAAATCATTTCTCTTATGCTTACCGGACTCTTTAACATATGTTCCGTGATGATTTGAGTTCTGACGTGAGTACCTGGAAAAAAAATATAGATATATGGTATAAAAAAAAAAAAAAAAAAAAAAAAAAAATTTCATAATAAATAAAATGAATAGAACGATTTGCAAATAATAAAAGTGTATGTTTTCGAGCGAGCTCGTGATCATCATGAATAAGAGTTATCGCAAAGTAAAGAAGCGTGAACTACGATGCAGTTTAAATAGAACACGAAAGGGAGAAATGAGATGTGAAGATTGGCACCCAGCCAGAGCACTGTCACGCTAAGGTATATACAATAACAACAACCAAATGAAAGTCCTACGTCATTGAAAACTTTTACGTGACACGTATGGATCGTCGACAATTTTCTAATTTTATCGATTCACTATGGCTTATCAAGTTTCTACTATCCTTTTTATCGATTCTTAGATTACATTATCGAATTATTGTATATACATACTGTTACCTACGTAAATACATAGAAGCTATCGTATATTTTTATTGCGACAATGTAGAGATATTTGATCGTATCTACATAAATTTGAAAAAGACAATTCAATTGTTATCGAGTGAATCTATCTTTCGATAGCTACGCCGTATTTTCTCATCTCGAGCAAATATTTCGAAGAGTCACGTAGATAGACACTATTTTCGATATTACATATACGGAGAACAACAGAAAACTTTGCGAGGTAGAATAGACAAGTGGAACGGGCAAAAGGCGAATGCATCGAGAAGAAAGATAGAATATGAACAGATGTGCAAACACGGAAGATTATCTTTGTTGCCGTGCATTTGCTTCAGAGAGAAAGAGAAAAGAAAGAGGTGGGAGCAGATGCAACCAGCGGGATAGAAACAACCGTGGACCCTATTTACAGCTGCAAGCTGTCCGTTCGTCGATTTTTTTTTTGTTTCTACTTTATCTTCGTTGCAATAACGAAAAGAAACGACGCGTAATTTTCTATTTCTCTCTTTCTCTCTCTCTCTCTCTATCTCTCTCTTTCTCTTTCTCTGTTAAACGATCATTTATTTGTAGAAATTAAATCATAACGCGCACGTTATAAATATAACATTAAGATTAATTTTCTCTGAAATACGAAAAAATATATCAGAGAAATAAATTGTAAAAGATATATGAAATAAAAAAAGAAAATAATAAAAAAATCACGAATGAGATCGTTTAATCAATTTCTTCATTGTATTTCTAATAATTTATTAGTAAAATATTTCTTTTTCGAACTAAACAAACTTGTCAATATACAATGAATATTTATAAAAGCGATAAGAAGAAAGTATCTTCTCGGTTTTTCATATTAAACCAATTTAAGATTTACTCTTCATAACCTAAGTGCTCTTATATACATAGATACACTTCAGTTTGTGAAGTATAATAATAACCAATACGATATTATCTTATTTAAGTAGACGTCGAATGTTTATTGGGTCATCCGGCTTTTATTACATCAGACGTGGCTACGAATATAGATAGATTCTTTACTTCGGTTATGTGCTTATAGACGTCCTCTATACATGTAAGTACTCAAGTACGTTCACATGAAGAGAAATAAAGCGTCGAAAAGCTACAAGCGGATATTCCATTTCAATGGCTTTCTCGTTCAATAGAAGATTTTCATTCGTAGTGCGGTTTCTTCGTTTATTCATCTTCTATTTGACGTTACTTTATCCAGCTAAGAAATCTACTTTACAGCACGTCAAAAACGACCCCTCTTAACGCGCTACCGCCTCTGACTATATCTCACTCACTTTCTCTCTTTCTCTCTCTCTCTCTCTCTCTCTCTCTCTCTCTTTCTCCCTCTCTCCTTCTCTCTTTTTCTTTTCATCTGAAAATCTTTAATATTACTGAGTAATCTTGCAACATTCGCGTAGGTTTATCTAGAGATCTCCGGGAAATGTCTTCGCTGAAACCTTTTGAATTTTTTAAACGATAGAACCAATGAAATATTAATTTTTTGCAAATAGAACAACAGAGGCAAGAGATAAAAAAAAATGAAAAGGAAATTATAAATTGTTTCTAATCCCTATGCAAATAAAGTATTATTTATTTCACGAGTCGGCATTAGAAAATGTTTTACGAACAGAAGAAAACAGGGAAAACAAAAAGGAAAACACAATTCTTTAGAAAAAAAAAAAAAAACAATTTTAATGTAATATTTAATAGCGCAAACTTCTTTTCTTTAATAGGCAAAACCTTGTTACTTAGGTTCTGTTTAATCATTTAAATCTGATCTAAATTGGCATTATACATGAGCCAAATATTTAAAAGAAAGAAAAACAATTGAGATCTTTAATTGATAATCGATTATCATGAAATATAAAAAAGTGATATGTATTTATATTTTATTGTTAGTCATTACTGCAGGAAATTTCTTATTACGATTTTGTTCTTAAAATAAAGAATTCGAACGTATCGTAAATTTTTCATATTCACATTTGAATATACCCATAAATTGCTAGAATATGTCCTGAATAAATAAATAAATAAATAAATAAATGAATAAATATATATATATATATATATATATATATATATATATATATAAAGTTACAGCTATAAGTTACATTTTAAAATGGTTACTGATACTGTCGAATACTAAGATAAAACAAAATTATGTGCACAAATAAATTGTGTATATAGTATCATATATATAACCTATATGTCCCGTAAAAAATATATTTGGATCATTCTGTTTATATACGTTGAAAAACAAACAAAATAGAAACAATAGTTAAGAACTTTAACAATATCGTTTTTGAACTTTAACGTTCGTTTTTTTTTTTTTAATGAATATAGGATTCGTTCTGATAGTTCAAGCACGTATATCCGCTGTTTTTTTTTTTATCACTTCGATCGTTGGAAATTTTAGAAAGCATCATATCAATTTGTAGAAATCTACGAGGCAAAATATCTCGTGGTGGTTGTCCGTAGAAACGATGGAGATGGTATGTCTCGTTTCGCAGCGAGGAAACGCATCTGCGGCTGTTCAAATAGAGATTTCTCGTCGAGCACGTATCAGAGGGAGGATTTCTAAGGGTCGCGCGTAGTTCTCTCTCTCTCTCTCTCTCTCTCTCTCTCTCTAGATATATACAAGCGACACAACGAAATCCTACGATATTCATACATATATACATGTTCAAGTTTGACGCACGTACGGTCGTTTACCGGCCTATGGAGACCACGCGAGTTCTAACACTGCGGCGAAAGCCCGTGACCCAATAAACGTTTGACGAGCGGATAGCAACGGTAGTCTAGCGTTATGCATGTATTCACGAAACGATCCTTTCTGAAAGTTGTTATATTGATGCATTTATATTCACTAGTGATTGTGATCCAAAGAGAATTAAATTAGATTTCTATATATTAAATTATATTTTTATTAATTTAGATTATATATATAACATTGAATATTTATCTAAAGATAAAAAAATATAATAAAATATTATATATATATATATGTATATATATATATATATATATATATATATATATATATCGAGTTATTGTAAAGTCGAATTATCGATCAGAAATCTACTAATAGAAATGAAATAATTAAAATCCTTTTGATCTTTTTTATCAAGCAGCCTTTATATATTTTCTTTCATGTCCTTTTTTCAATCGATATCTATAAAATATAACACATAGTATTATGTTGCTCGATACTATCCATATGAAACTATTCTCTGCAAACAAGTTTTTGGCTTATCGTTAGAAAACGAACATATTCAGTAGTATGTATTTATTAATCGCTTCGTGAGAGAGTTTTAATACAACTTCGAGCTCGATAAAAAAGATGTTAGTAAAAAAATATGAAAGAGAAAAAGAGGGGGGGGGGTATAAATGGATTTTATTTTTTATCTCGTAATAACGTGAAAATACGTGAGATAATATCTCGTGATTATAATTAGTAACTTTCGGTATAAAATGTAGACAAATGATTATAACGAACATATCCATTTCTTGGCAATAATGATGTTACTTGTTCCTAGATATCCAATAAATGTAATAAGATATATAATAGAATATCAATTATGATTAATTTATCATAAAAAAATAAACATAATGAATAGAAAATAATATAATAATTATATGCATAATTAATTGTAAATATATAACATAGTCGAACATAATGATAAAAGAATATTGTAATTATCGAAGAGAATATTACCTCATCAAATAAATTTAAGAAATATTTTAATATATTATTGGTTCGACGATACTAAACAAATCGATAAATTAATAAATAGAGCATCAATGTGTCGGTTATGATCGATTAAACAAATTCAAACTAGGTTATTCAAAATAGATCGATAAATTCGTATTTGTATTGTCTAACAATTCGGGGGTGAGAAAGCATTAAAGATTTCTGTTCTGAAGTTAAATGAGTAACCAAATTCGATTACAACATGGTGGTTAGTGAGAGTCCGATCAGAATCTCTCAAGAAGTATCCTAAAGTAAACTTCCGAACTGGATCGACAGGTAAGATACTCGACAAGGTGCCAAGTTTACTCTCGTAGTTAGTACTCGGTGAATAGCAGACAAACAGTAAAATGACACATTATCGAGGAATCAACAAGAAATTTTCCATCATTTGTACAATTTTCTAATATAAAATCGAATTTCTAATATGATCCGTTAAATATTTTGACTTTTTCGATTAATTTTATTAAAACTATTAAATTACTCTTTAGAACAAATTTAAAAGGGATAGGCAGAAATGATTTTTACTCTATATAAGTTTTTAATTTATTCATTGTTGAAAATATTTTTTAAGAAATATTTCAACAAATATTTTTGTAAAATAACGCAATTAGAACTATTATTCGAGATATCACAAAATATATAATAGACTTTATTGTATGCTTATGAAAAAATATGTATGCGTCGCGATCAAATTGTAATCCGATCCGTATTCGATACGATGAGTTTCATTGTCCATGCAAATCAGTAAAAAAGAATAGATCGAGAAATTCTCGTGCACATCCATAACGTATATTTCAATAATCCTGAAACCGTTAG